AAAGGCCAATAAAGGAGCCTGGAGGTGTCCACCACCACCAGACTAGCAGGGATTTGCTAAGCCCCAGACTCAGAACAGACCACAGGGAGGCAGCTCCTGGAGCTGAGCAGGTTGGGCGGACACTCAGGAGCCTTCCTCATCCACCGGTGTGCTGGGCTCTAAGAGACCCAGGCAAAGAGAAGACGCACCCTTCCCTTCTCCTCGGAAAGTCTGTGGCCAAAAGGAAGTATTCAAAATGTTATGATAAAGATAGAAACCTGTATCTGCATGGGCAACGTTTTAAGGCCACATACAAAATGAAAAATGAATGAGAATCGGTGACTTCTGGCTAAATCTTTTTAAGTTACATTCTGATTTTACTGTGTTTCTCTCAAATAAAAGTTGGAGATAGTTTGCATAAAACTAAAGGCTTTCTAACTTTTCAAATAATTCCAGCTCTTCCACATTCACTTTTCACTCAAAGGAACCCTTTTGTAGAACTTCATGTAGAACAGGCAAGAGTGGCCCTTCAGTGCTGGGCGGCGGGGAGGCAGGGAAGGCCTCCTGCTTTCCTCATCCACCCTCACTCTGCTGCAGATCTACAAGACCCCTGAAGACCCCAAAGGGAACCAACCCTCACACTGGCTCCCCAAGAATCTGGAGCAGGAGCCTAGAGGARGGCGGAAGCCCCAGGTTCTCAAGCTCCAAACCCAGGCTTTCTCCATCTGCTCTCAAACAGGCTCAGATTCGAGCTCCAGGGGACTTGGCTGAGGAGGGGACTATCAACACCTGAAAATGGTGGTTCCCTGGGGAGGGAAGACTGCACACCTCAAACCTCACGGTCCAGCGCCTCTCCCCTCCCAGACCCAAACCTCACCACAGGGCGGGAGAAGTGGTCCTCAGACAGGCCAAGGTCCATCACGCGCTCAGAGCAGTGGAACCCAGGCTCCCCGGGGGGCAGCTCAGGCAGGGTCTCTGCAGGAAGAGAGGATGGTAGGAAAGAAAACTCAGCCTGCTCTCTCTCACGCTCCTCATCCCCCAGGAAGGAAGCTGGGAAGTGGGACGCAGGTGGACACAGGAAGGAGGCCCTGGGGAGCTGAGCCTGCTCAGCTCTGCATGCCCATTTGGTTTAATTCAAAAAGATGAGGTGGAGGGGCTGGGATTGTGGCTCAGTGGTAGAGCGCTCGCCTAGAACGTGCAAGTGCCTGGGTTCGATCCTCAGCACCACATAAATGTGAAATAAATATATTATGTCCACCCAAAACCGAAAAATAAACATTAAAAAAAAATGATGAGGTGGAATGGTATTCAATGGTGCTAAAAGAGGCCCACAAGATAGCTTTATAGAAACATCTCAGTTTCTACAGCAGATAC